TAAAAATATAATGGTGCGGAAAACTTTTTCATCTATTAAAGAACTCTTCTATTTATTTATAAAGCCCTATATTACTGTCTTGAATACGAATTCTGTTTCTTATCTATGGTAAGCTGTACACATTTCGTAAAGGTTTACATACATACATGGGAGAATGGCATTAGTTCATTAATTTCAAGAATACCTACTTAGTTTACTCAGAACAAGAAAGAAAGCTAACTTCGGGCGGAGCCGAAGTTGATATACCCTTGCAGAATATTCTGTAAATTATATTCTCCAAAACCGGATCGGTTATTCATATGATGCATTCTTAATACTCATAAAAAATCCCAACTTCCTAACTTTAAAACAAGAGAGAACGCTAAAGTCGGGTGCCCCGACTATCAGATACCCGTTACTCAGGTAAAGGGAGTGCGAGGGAGATGGAGATAGAAACTTTGATCACGCATAACTTTTTAACGAATGGTCCGATTTGAAAAATTTCTTCTACATTTCGATAGGTATTGATAAACTCAATAAAACTGCATTTTTACTTTTCCGAAATATTTAAATTTTTAAAATCGTATATAAGCGATTGAGGGCGTTAAAGGGGGCGTGGCACCAGTTTGAAACAAACTTGCGCTGCGTAGGAACTCCTAGAATCTGCATGCAAAATGCCAATCTTCTAGCTTTTATAGTTTCCGAGATCTCAGCGTTCATACGGACGGACAGACAGACGGACAGACAGACGGACAGACGGACAGACGGACATGGCTATATCGACTCGGCTAGTGACCCTGATCAAGAATATATATACTTTATAGGGTCGGAAACGCTTCCTTCTAGCTGTTACATACTTTTGCACGAATACAATATACCCTTTTACTCTACGAGTAACGGGTATAAACACCAAAGTTATGTCATTTCCAATCGTTCAGTTATATGGCGGCTATAGGATATAGTCAGCCGATCCTTATGAAATTTGGTAGGTCAGACTGATCGGCCAAAAATAAAACCCATAGAAAATCCCAACTTCCTAACTTAAAAAACATCAAAGTTATGGCATTTCCGATCGTTCAGTTATATGGCAGCTATATGATATAGTGGCCCGATCCGGCTCGTTCCGACTTATATACTACCTGCAATAGAAAGACAACTTTTGGGAAAGTTTCAAGCACATAGCTTTAAAACTGAGGGACTAGTTTGCGTAGAAACGGACGGACAGACGGACGGACAGACGGACATGGCTAGATCGACTCTCCTGGTGATGCTGATCAAGAATATATATACTTTATAGGGTCGGAAATGTCTCCTTCACTGCGTTGCAAACTTTTGACTGAAATTATAATACCCTCTGCAAGGGTATAAAAATAATGACTCAAAACAATTTAGAAACGTAGGTTGCTTGGGGACCCTGAAGTCAACCACAAGAGAGAGATAGTTTGCTTGGGGACCCTGAAGTCAGGCGCAAGAGACAGAGCGCGGCCGGTGAACCGAGCCGTAAGGAGGCGTGATCCTGAAATCAAACGTCTCCTAGTGAAACTTTCGGATCGGCAAGCTGAGCCGGGCTTAAGAAGGGTAGTGGGAGAAGGAAGTACTACTTAGACTAACTGCAATTTATAAGCGGACTTAGATCGAATGATCCAGTCCACCAAAAGTGACTTTGCTGCTCACCACCTACTGGGGAGTTACCTCTGGTCCCAAAGACGATCTGCTGCATGGTCTGGCGTGGTACGGACCTTTTTTTTATACCCTTTTGGTCAAAAGTGTGCAACGCAGTGAAGGAGACATCTCCGAACCTATAAAGTATATATATTCTTGATCAGGATCACCTCCTGAGTTGATATAGCCAAGCTATCGAATTGAAACTTTGCACACACCCTTCTGTCCTTTGCACGCAGTATATATGTCGGAACGGCCGGGATCGGCCGACTATATCCTATAGCTGCCATATAACTGATTGATCGGAAATGCCATAACTTTGGTGTTTGTAAAGTTAGGAAGTTGGGATTTTCTATGAGTTTTATATTTGGCCAATCAATCCGACCTACCAAATTTCATAAGGATCGGCCGACTATATCCTATAGCTGCCATAAACCTGATTGATCAGAAATGTCATAACTTTGTTGTTTGTTAAGTTAGGAAGTTGGGATTTTCTATGGGTTTTATATTTGGCCAATCAATCCGACCTACCAAATGCCATAAGGATCGGCCGACTATATCTTATAGCTGCCATATAACTGCACGATTGGAAATGCCATAACTTTGGTGTTTTTAAAGTTAGGAAGTTGGTATTTTTTATGAGTATTAAAAATGCATCATATGAATAATTTTGGAGAATATAATTTACAGAGTATTCTGCAAGGGTATATCAACTTCGGCTCCGTCCGAAGTTAGCTTTCCTTTCTTGTTTTTTTTTTACGTAGCTTTCCTTTGCCTTTTTCTCTTGATAGTGACGGCACAGAAACATCGATGGTTGAAAAAAACATCGATGTTTTCATCGATGTTGCTGCACCTCTGCTTTTCTGATATTTTTAGAATGGTATCTTTTGTTGGGATGCCCTCAGCGGTAACCATATTAGCTTATTTTAATTTTGTATTAATCATAGAAATCATAAGAATCACTAAGCTGACGGTCACGTAAGAATCTCCGCTCACATTATCAGTAGCTTCTTTAAAAGGTTTGGAGAAAATGGAAAAAATCGCGACATATATTCAGCTCTTCCACTAAGAGCATTTCTGGTGAGTTCCTTTGTGGCTTAAGAGTGACCAAATATAAAATATCGGAAATTTAATCTCAAAAAATATCAATATCGCCTTTTTTTCGCCCAAAAAATATCGCAATGATAATATTTTTTTAAGAGGAAAAATATCGATATATTGATATTTTAATATATTTCCGACAAAAATCCCACCCGTTTCGCTGGGAAGTAGGGACCCAGCGAAACGGTTGGGATTTTTGACAAAAACCTTAATGCTGAGTACCATCAAAAAGTGTATCTTTTTTTTTTTTTATGTTTTGTGAACATTTTGTACCATTTTGATAATAATATGACAATCTTTTTTATTTTAGGCAACGCAAAAGGAGTGAATGACTTCAAACTTTTTCATCCAATTCAAAATGAGGAGCTGCCATTACTGAGAAACACTGCTTTTACAGAAGGAGACCACACTCAGTTCTCATTAACAAATTATAAGCTTAATGACTCTTCTTTTAAATGCCAATCAATAAATGATTTTCCGGCTCATGTTACTAATTCGATAACATTTCAAGGTATTATTTAAAATTTATTTGGTTTGTGTCTTATAAAAATCAACTAGATATCTACCTTTGCCTCCAAGGAAACCGATTTAAAAAGCAGCTTACTGACAGAAAACCTCGCCAAGCCTATAATGCCTCTCAGTTGGAACGTCTTGAAAAAGAATTTATTATAGATAAATATCTTAGCGTTAGTAAACGTATTGAGCTATCGAAATCACTTTCTTTAACGGAAGTTCAAATAAAAACGTGGTTTCAAAATCGTCGAACAAAGTGGAAAAAACAGTTGACATCGCGGCTAAAAATAGCGCAAAGACAAGGATTATGGATACCAACTCTACCAATAACATCAATTTGTCCAAGTACAAAATATGAGAACTTAAAGCCGAATTAAGCATTATAAAATCTTAAATAAATGTAAATAAAATAACAAAATTATATTAATTATTATATAATCTATTTTTAATCTAATTAACTGGAATCTTTTAAGGGGATATCCGGGTCTTGAAGCACAAAAAAGGGTTATTTTCGTGAATTTTTTTTAAAGATCTTACGACAATTTTACAAATTTCATTTATTCTACATTAATGTATAAAGCCTAGTCGATTGCAGGAGTTACATGTGAGGAAAAAATAACATTAATACCATCTGGGGTACCTCTTGTCACAGCAAAGTGTTTCTTAGGTCAAAAATGTACGAAAAAACACAATAAAAGTGCAGCTAAGAATTTTAAATTAGCAAATAATTATCGGTAAATTAAAAAAAAAAAATTATTCAATTTAAATTGTATTGTTTTTTAATTTCTTTGTACAGTGGCAGACTTGTCTTGCCAACTACCTTGATAATATCTTTTAAAGGCTCTTTCCCGCAAATACGATATTTGAATTTAAGTGCTTGTCAACAAACCCAGCTGATTGACATTACGGCCCTAGCACGCATAATTCTGATGAACTCTCGCAATTTTGGCCACACTGGAAAGATTAAAGTTTTTACGCTAGCGAACTCGTTTGTTGATCTGAGTACTAGGATTAAGGTATGAACAACATTGTGTACAACTTTGAACAAAATATATTAAAAAATGAGCCGTTGAGGCAGGCTTGAACACCCCAAAAATCGTGTCCTTGCGATAGGCATAATATCTCGGTCAATTTTTATCTGAAATCAAAAAATCAAAATTTTTCTGATAGTGTATGTTTCTGGCTTGTCTTTTACGAAGGATTATTTTTTTAATTAAAAATTGCATTTTTTTAGCGCTTTTCATAAAAAGTTTAATTTATTACGTAAATTTTGGCCATATTTTGGCTTATAAAATGAGTTGTAATTGAAGTTAAAAAAATTGTTTCGTCAACGACAACAAAAACATGTCTAAAAGAAGTGTGCAAAAGCAGAAGTCGATCGGTGCAATAGAAATATAGAACGTGACTACCGGACTTCAAAAAAGTGGTTTTGAGAAAAACGCGTTTAAAGTTTTAAAGCGGACACAAAAGGGCGACGCCAGAGCCCGAATTGCCAATTGTGACTCATTTGACGCGCTGGGCTTTAAATTTCTCCTACAGCTTTGCTTCGATCGACTTGAAATTTCGTCGATCTGAGTACCGAGGTGAAAAAAGATCGACGAAAACTGTACGCCAGTCATGAGAGAAAGCGAGAGCTGGCGTTCACTTTTCGTCAATCTTTTTTATCACCTCGGTACCCAGAACGACGAAAAAATACCAGAAAATTTCATAGCGTTGCCAGTCTGCCGAAATGAACTTTGGGCGAACCCTAGTGAAAAGACTAAAAAATTTAATCTTTTGGCGTGCGCTTCTCATCGAATATTAAAAATCAAAAACCCCGCAAAAGTCGGTTGCAGGAGTTCAATTGTCAGGAAAAAATTACATAAATACGATGCCAGAATTTTGGTATTTGCATTTTAATGCAACCTTTATAAAAAGAGCGTGGGAGGAAATAGCCTGGGAAATGGATGAAGATAGTAAGTCATAATTGTACTTTATTAAATATTTGTTAACGTGGACATATACAATATTAATGTTTAGATAATAGTTGCTGGAGTGGAAATCTCTGCGGGACAGCTATTAATACCACAAATGCAAGCAACCGAAGAGTGGAAGTGCTAGAGGAGACCCACTGAAGAAGACAACAGGTGTTGCAGAGTGGGATTTCGCCCCCTACAGAGGCAATAGGTTCTGGCCAAGAATTTAATAACATTATACTAATATAATATATTTTTAACAGAGCAACCCAATCTTGCTTTTCTGAAAGCGAAGAAGCGCATGCAATGGAGTACTCCATGGACGATTCGCTAGATCCGACTGAAGTTGGCTTTTTGGAAGCGAAAGCGGAGCTGGTGGTCGGGTTGTCTGAGCTGCCCAAAGAATTTTATTCCTACGTAAGTTGCCCAATTTCTATTAAATAATATAATTTTTTATAAAATATATCTATATTTTCAAAGGGTGGAGGAAGAAGGACCGCGAAAAAGCGAAAGGTAGAGGAATCACCAGCAACAAAAATATGTGACATGCTAGGCAACTTCCTGGAGCAACAACAAAGGGCCCCCTTACCACTCCACCAAGGCGAATATATGCATACTGGGAATCAATATTATATACTTTTTCTCTGGAACGTGCTGCTGAAGTCGAGCAGAAGATGACCACGCTTCTGTGGGAGGAGAAAGACGCCAGCAAATAATCGGTTAATCAAATAACAAAATTTAATCATGGCAATATAACTTTTATTGTTTTTTAATTTCTTTGTACACGGGCAGACTCTTCTTGCCTAGGTACTTGAGAATATTTAGCACTGCCGTTTAAATATTCTTTAAGGTTGTTTCGAACCTCCTTAATGAAGTCCTGTGGGCGACCTCGTCGGCAGGGTCGCAAGTCGGTCAGGACAGTGCTTGGTATCTTCTCCATCGCATAAGTTGTTGGACACTCCCGCATCAAAAAACTATGCAAGGCACAACAGGGTACAATAATTTGTTGAACTTTGAATGGATTGCTTAACAAAGTTCCTTGTACAGCCTTCATCCTAGCGCTGACAATTCCAAATGCGTTCTCAATGCAACGACGAGCACGACTTAGCCTGTAGTTTAAAATCCGCTCCTCCCTATGCAGATCCTTGCCACTATACGGCTTCATGATGCGTTAATGAAGGGGAATGCATCATCACCAACAATGTAATAAGGTGTGACGGTTTGTCGTTGTAGGATGGCTCAGGGATGGCCAGGGTTCGTCACAGGAATTGGTTTGTGTCAGGCGTGGTTGCTGAAAGAGAGTTCCGACCCAGCCCAGAGTAGAAGGAGAATTACTAAGTAATTGATTATAATTAGGTTTATTTCAGTAAGATTCTTTACATTTAATTGATTCTGACTAACGGATTCTTCTGACTGGCGGTTTGCCGCTCTTGCTGCTTTCGCTTCCTTCGTCCAATCTAACTGCTGGACGGCGGGAGCCGTCCCGCTGTTCGAGAGGCACAGCACGGGATTTCGGCTGCTAGTAGAGTAGACCCCGGTGCTGGTTGCCACGTAGAGAGCCTGACATAATAGTATGTTGCTTGGTGACCCTGAAGTCAGCCACAAGAGAGAGAGTATGTTGCTTGGGGACCCTGAAGTCAGCCACAAGATAGAGAGAATAGGTTGCTTGGGGACCCTGAAGTCAGCCACAAGAGAGAGAATAGGTTGCTTGGGGACCCTGAAGTCAACCACAAGAGAGAGATAGTTTGCTTGGGGACCCTGAAGTCAGCCGCAAGAGACAGAGCGCGGCCGGTGAACCGAGCTGTAAGGAGGCGTGATCCTGAAATCAAACGTCTCCTAGTGAAACCTTCGGATCGGCAAGCTGAGCCGGGCTTAAGAAGGGTAGTGGGAGAAGGAAGTACTACTTAGACTAACCGCAATTTATAAGCGGACTTAGATCGAATGATCCAGTCCACCAAAAGTGACTTTGCTGCTCACCACCTACTGGGGAGTTACCTCTGGTCCCAAAGACGATCTGCTGCATGATACAATAACATAAGGTAGTCTCGTCGTCTGTCTAAACGTTCGGGTTTTGGTCAGTGCGTGTTCGTTTTTTGAATATAAGGTTGTCTGCGGACCAAATTTTTAAGGAATTAACCCTTGTGCAACATGACTCTTTGACATATAAAAGATTTATTTTAAGATTAGAATATATTTTAGAATTAAGAATCTTAACAAAATATTGAATATTCAAAAACAAAAACGACGCCCAATTTCAAATTAAAACTATAAAAAATTAAATTATGAAGAAAAAATTCAACCTCTTTTATTGTGAAAGGCAAAGAAACCCTGAACCATCTAATGGTTAATCCACGCATTCTATTGTCGCTCTGCTCGCACTTACTAAACGGTGCCCATTTCACTCGCACTCATTGTTATGATTGTAGAGGTACCAGATTTTCCCGACAAGACTACCTTATGTTTTTGTATCATGGTCTGTTGCTAATTGAAGTTCTATGGCCCGTGATCCGCCTTATATAGGGCTCGGTGAGATCTAGTGTGCCCGCCGCCTGTGTGGGCTTTGCCGGTATAAGTGTGGCCACCTCTCTCGGCCTAGTGTGCCCCTACGCGCGCGATCGTTGGCGCGCGCGCGTTCTTTGTTTGAATTTGAATTAAACGCTCTTTTCGTTTAACTTTTTCATCTTGTTTTGTGCGCGCACAGCGTCACAAAGGGGTTCGATACCCGTTTATAACATTGTCCTCCGGAAAGGCAGCTGGTCTAGGAGCAACTGTTTGCAAAATCGCTGTGGGAGAAGGCATTCATGTCTCCCTCGCTACCAAAAGCCCCCACATCAATGTAGGTGAAGAGATAATGAGGGTCGCAGATTGCCATAAGCACAACTGAATGAAAGCCCTACATTACAAACGATTTTGTTATTAAATTCTATTGGCAATTAAAAAGTACTTACCTTATAATTGTAAAAAAGGCTTCCGCAATTTGGCGGGGCTTTTATCGCCGCATGCTTTCCGTCGACTGCTCCAATACAATTTGGAAAGTTCCATTCGTCTTGGAAGCCTTTAACCCACATCAGCATATTGCCCGTCGTCCACTTGGGGAATTCATCCCGCAAAGCAGTCCAAATGGCAATGGACAGCTGGACGAGAATTACTCCAAAATGTTGCTTACTGATCCGATAAGTTGATACAATGTGGCGTTGCAGGTCTCCAGAGGCAAGAAATCTAAATAAAAGGTTACAAAATATAAATATATAGTTATCTAAGAATAAATATTTAAAATCTAATTACACTAAAACGATGGCCAACTTGGCTTTTATTGGAATAGCATCAGGGCAGGTGTTCCGTTTCGGTACAAGGTACTGCTCAACCATTCCAAAAAGAGTGTTAAGAGTCTTCTGAGGTTATGAAAGTTTTCGAAAAACATCGAGAGAGTCTGCAACAAGTTTTGAAACTTTAAAATAATAAGAAAATATTTCTTAGGGCACGAATATTAATATATTATTGAACAGTATTAGTTACGTCGGAAGAATATCGGCCTTTAAGGGCCCTTTCCTGCAGATATGGGCTCACCCAATATTTTCGCCGCTGTCTTTTGTTCTCTTCCTCTAATGCCACAATACATGCCGCCATGCTGCCAACCAAAATCTCGCTTGTGTCCTTTGAACTGGATATTTTCGTTTAATTGAAATTTGTTTGGTTTTTTGTTTGTCAACAAACCCAGCGAAAAAATTAAAAAATGTAATCTTTTGGCGTGCGCTTCTCACTGAACATTTTAAGAAATGGAGGGAAAAAATCAAAAAACCTTAATACTATCTGGGGTGCCTCTTGTCAGAGCAAAATGTTTCTTAGGTCAAAAATATACGAAAACAAGAAAGAAAAGCTAACTTCGGGCAGAGCCGAAGTTGATATACCCTTGCAGAATATTCTGTAAATTATATTCTCATATGATGCATTCTTTTTACTCATAAAAAATCCCAACTTCCTAACTCTAAAATCACCAAAGTTATGGCATTCCCAATCGTTCAGTTATATGGCAGCTGTAAGATATAGTCGGCCGATCCTTATAAAATTTGGTAAGTCGGATTGATTGGCCAAAAATAAAAAAATACCAACTTCCTAACTTTACAAACACCAAAGTTATGGCATTTCCGATCAATCAGTTGTATATATATATATAGGATATAGTCTGCCGATCCCGGCCGTTCCGACTTATATACTGCGTGTGTGCAAAGTTTCAATTCGATATCTTTAAAACTGAGAGACTAGTTCGCGTAGAAGCAGACAGACGGACAGACAGACATGCTTATATCAACTCAGGAGGCGATCCTGATCAAGAATATATATACTTTATAGGGTTGGAGATGTCTCCTTCACTGCGTGGCACACTTTTGACCAAAATGATAATACCCTCTGCAAATAATTATCAGTAAATTAAAAAAAAAACTGTTAAATTTAAATTGTATTGTTTTTTAATTTTTTTGTACAGCGACAGACATGGGTTGCCAAGGTAGTTGATAATATCTTTTAAAGGCTCTTTTCCGCAAATACGATATTTGAATTTTAACTGCCTGTCACCAAACCCAGCTGATTGACAGTACGACCGTAGCACGCTTAATTCTGATGAGCTCTCGAAATTTTGGTCACACTGGAAAGATTAAAGTTTTTACGCTAGCGAACTCGTTTGTCGATCTGAGTACTAGGCTTAAAAAACAAGAAATAAATGGAATAAAAAATGTATGGCCAGAAAGGATATTAAATGGGTAAAAAAAACGAGAAGACGTGTAAGAAATACAAGCCGTGAAGAATTAAAAGAGAGCGCAGTAGTATTTTACAAACAATGCCCCGAAGCCGCCTCCATGAACAACCATTTAGCTGTTTAGCATACCGAATTTATGTGAAGCACTTATTGACAGGCGCCTGACGTGTTGATAACCTGCATTGCCTTCGAGAGGAAGATTATCAGGTTTTCAAGAGGCAGGCTTAGAATTGGCAAACGTGTTCTCGAATTGCTCAGAGTTGTCACGCTTTACAATGGTTATGCTTTTATGGAGCCGTAGTCATAAATGCTTCTAGTGGTGATATTGCTCTGAAATTTTTTCCCAAACTATATAATAATATTTTGAACAAAGAGTAAAAAAATGGAAAATTGGCCAACTAAATCAAAAATCATTATTCCCAAAAGTGAAAACGATCATAAATCCATATATTATGTATTTTATTCGTCTAGCAACAAATGCACATCGCTTAACAATTTTGTTTTTTTGTGAATGATAATTTACTTTGCCCAGTTATGAAAAGGTCTGACTTCAAAGCAATCTATTTAACAAATCCTTATTTGTGTCAACTCAAGACATTTTTCCAGTGTGATACTCTGTAAATCTTTTAATATCCTTATTTTCGGATTCGGCAGTAATGTCTCACACCTCATTAAAACTTTTTCAGCCAATCCCGTAATGTTCTCGCTTTATTACCGTCATTTGAAGTTCCACTACCTCCACTCTATGCTATCTATGTAGTATGTATATGACAAATGCAAGAAATATTTGTCGGTATATATCAGTGTATAAGGAATGCTAGTTTCTTGGAATGCTAATGTTTCACAGAAGCTCGAATTATTTATCTTATGTTTTGCCTTTTTTGCAATATGAATGTTTATCTTCGTTCGCCTTGCAAGGTACCGTTAGAACAGGGCGATGTCGAAGACCTGCATGTGTGGCGCTACAAAAGTGTGGTGCGACACACTGCTGCGTCGCTCGCTT